TTCTAATTTTTTTGAAATCACTGATTATGTAACTTGAATAATCTGAAGTATTGAACTTTGCTGTGTCAAAGGCAACAATTAAAAAAAAAAAAAACTTTAAAATCAACTCAACAGAAAAGTATAAAAAATTATGACTGACAAAGTATACTGTATCAAAATTCAAAAAAAATTTTTTTAGATTGTTATCGGAACAAACTCCTTGGCTTTCAAATTTATCTATAAATTTTAGCATCAAATTTTACATTTTTCAAAAAAGAAGAAAATCACAAACTTGTTCACACAGTTGAGTTTTAACTTGTCTGACAGGCATACTCTATCAGCTTGCAAATATTCAACTGCCAATCAATTAAATATCTTTGGAAACACTGACATGACATATAAGACTATCTTCTAAAGCAGTAATTTACAGATGCCAATGGGATGCTATCACCCTTTTTATCAATCTGAGACAAAATGGGTAAAAAAAGGTAATAAATATTTTCTAAAACCAAATATAAAAGGATTGTCCTTTATTCTGGGATTATTGTCCTTTATTGGTGTAAAATGTCTTCTTAAAATTGAAATAATATTAGATATTTTCATACATAGTCCTTAACCTGGCAAAATAAGAAATAGCTATTTGGTCCCCAAAATCTTCTTAGAAATGTTACCAGTCTCTAGAGAACAAGTTTTGAATCTCTGTTCCACATGGCCTTCACTGGTGTACCACAAATCATTCTTGTTTTTAAAAATAATAGAAAAATGGACTTCAAGCAGCATGAGGTCACATATTTGTTTATCTTGTCTCCCCAGTGTCTAGCGCAATGCCTCACACATAGTAAGCACTCAGTAAATATTAGCTGAATTAATGAACATTAAACTAAATCATGTAAATAAATGGTAACTGCCAGAATTTTTAAAATTAAAATCAGAATTGTTACAGAAAAGAATCGCAATATTAAAAAGAAAAATAAACCTACTCCTCATGTATCAACTATCTCATCTGACATTTTGCATTTACAACAACAATAAAAAATCTACTACCTGACTATTTCGTGCATTAACGACGTATGTCTGGCAGTAACGAATGCCAAGGTGTGAGGCGAGAGTAATGCTAGTTGGGAAGGTTATGGTTATGTGTCAACTTGGCTGAGTCATGATTCTCAGTGGTTTTGCAGTTATGTAATGATATAATTTGGCAGTTATGTAATGATATAATTTGGCAGTTACGTTAACGATGTAGTCATCCTCCATTTAGGGACCTGATGCAGTCATCCTCCATTTTAGCATAATGCTGATTTTCACATAACAATGGTCTTTGGAATCTAACCATGTCAATAAGGTAGGAGTGGGTGTATAAAAATAAATGGCAATTGTCAGATTTTTTTTTAATTAAAATAAAAATGCAAGTTTTATAGTGAGTCGCAACACTAAGTTTAACAGTATTAAAAATATTCTATCTGCAATAGACTCTCAGATAAACAATGCAGTTTTCATATTTACACATTCAAAAGGCATTCAGAAATAACATTAAGATCTGATTCAGGTGGGAATAGATATAACAGAATTGGCCATAAGTTGGTAACTGTTAAGCTGAGTGATGGGTATATGGGAGTTCATATAGTCTTTATTTTTATATATGTCTGAAATACCTCATAATTAAAAATTGACAGCAGCAACAGAACCAACGCACTGTGAAAAGATACTGTCGTAATCAGAAGACTGTGACACACTGAGTGTGAAACAGGAAGGACAATTACTTAAGTATCAGATGTGGTGCCTCTTCTGAAGAAGTCAGCTGAGCATAAGATTTACATACATGAAAAAAAAGAGTACGCTTATATGTAATTATATGTTCACTACGTGATACATGCATTTTGGTACCGTAGGAATTTAGGACAGAGTAGTAACATTCCCCAAATACTTAGAAGATTTGAGCCTTGAAAGACATAACAAAGAGTACAAGAAAGGATATACTGGTGAGAGTGATGATATGAAAAGAAGTTGAGTCCTGACAGGGGCACAAAGAGAGTATAATTGGCCTGACCAGAGAAGATGCACGTTGGCTGTTGTTGTTGTTAGGTGCCGTTGAGTCAGTTCTGACTCATGACGACCCTATGTACAATAGAACGCAACACTGCCCAGTCCTGCGCCATCCTCACAATCATGGCTATGCTTGAGCCCACTGTTGCAGTCACTGTTGTCAATCCAACTAGTGGAGGGTCTTCCTCATTTTCGTTGATCCCCTACTTTACCAAGCATAATGTCCTTCTCCAGGGACTGATCCCTTCTGGTAACATGTCCAAAGTACTGGAGACAAAGTCTCGCCACCCTTGCTTCTAAGCATTTGGGCTGTACTTCTTCTAAGACATATTTGTTTGTTCTTTTGGCAGTCCATGGTATATTCAATATTCTTTGCCAACACCATAATGCAAAGGCATCGATTCTTCTTCGGTCTTCTTTATTCATCGTCCAGCTTTTGCATCCATATGAGGCAACGAAACACCATCGCTTGGGTCAGGTGCACCTTAGTTCTCAAGGTAACATCTTTGCTTTTCAAAACTTTAAAGAGATCTTTTGCAGCAGATTTGCCCAATGTAATGGGTCATTTGATTTCTTGATTGCTGCTTCCATGGGCATTGATTGTGGATCCAAGTAAAATGAAATCCTTGACAACTTCAATCTTTTCTCCATTTATCACGATGTTGCTAATTGATCCAGCTGTGAGGATTTTTGTTTTATGCTGAGGTGTAATCCATACCAAAGGCTGTGGTCTTTGATCTTCATCAGTAAGTGCTTCAAGTTCTTTTCACTTTCAGCAAGCAAGGTTGTGTCATCTGCATAACACAGGTTGTTAATGAGTCTTCCTCCAATCCTGATGCTCTGTTCTTCTTCATATGGTCCAGCTTCTCAGATTATTTGCTCACCAAACAAAGTGAGTAAGTACGGTGAAAGGATACAACCCCGACGCACACCCTTCCTGACTTTAAACCACGCAGTATCCCCTTGCTCTTATCAAATGACTGCTTCTTGATCTATGTACAGGTTCCTCATGAGCACAACTAAGTGTTCTGGAATTCCTATTCTTCATAATGTTATCCACAATTTGTTATGATCCTCACAGTTGAATGCATCTGCACAGTCAATAAAACACAGGTAAATATCTTTCTGGTATTCTCTGCTTTCAGCCAGAATCCATCTGACAGCAGCAGTGATGTACCTGGTTCTACATCCTCTTCTGAATCAGGCTTAAATTCCTGGCAGTTCCCTGTTGATGCGCTGCTGTAGCCACTTTTGAATGATCTATGCATGTGGTGGAACAGTGAAATAAAATAACCAAGAAGGGTGGGGCAGATTATAGAAAGAGATGCATCAGAGAGGGCTTCACTTATGGTTCAGGAGGAAATGGTGACCACTCAAGTGTTCTTAGGAGGAACTGTCATGGTTGATTTTCTCAAGAAAATTAGCTTACCAGCTCTATGTGGTGTGACTTAGGAGTGAAGCATAATGGAGTCAAGAAAGTTGTAGCAATAATCTGAATGTGAAGTGATTGAAGTGTGGACAACGGCAGAGGCCACAGTAGGAATAAAGAGAAAGGGATACTTTAAGAAAAAGGGAAAGGATTTTTTAGTAACTAGATATGAAAAAGCAAAACAATGACTCAGTCATGATGTCAAAGCTTTAACTCTAGGCGACCAGATGGGTGTTATCTCCATTGATAAATTCAGGGATGGCAGAAGGTAGAAACTTAAGGAGAAGATAATAGGTATGATTTCAGAGAGGATGAAATTTGAGAAGACAGCAGTAATAACTATAATAATTTAATAACTAATCCTCATATACAGGTAGAGTCTCTGGGTGGTGCAAACGGTTAACACACTCGGCTACTAACCAAAAGGTTGGAAGTTCCAGTCCACCTAGACACACCTCAGAACAACTGTCGAACTACTTACGAAAAATCAGTCATTGGAAACTCTGTGGAGCACAGTTGTACTGACACGCATGAGGTCACTATGTGCTGAAGTTGATTCAACGGCTACCGGTTTTTATACATAGCTTACTAGGTGCCAGGCACTGTTCCAGATGCTTTATATGTATTAATTTATTTATTCCTCAAAACAACCCTAATGAGATGGGTAATATTATTATCACCGTTTTATAGAAGAGGAAACTGAGATACAGCAAGTAACTTGCCCAGGGTGACACAGACAGTAAGTGATGGAATAAGGATTTGAAGCAGGGCAGTTTGGGTTTAACCATTTTGCTAAATTGCCTCTCCATGAGATGAAGAAATGTTTGGGAGGCAAAACAATACTGTTATGATAAAAACAGTTACGCAAAAGATGATCATATCTACAAAGTTATGTAGCTCTTTAGAGAAAATCCCATAATCTGACATCTTTAAGAATCAACTATCTTATTTTTATGTTTTTGGATAAAGGAAAAAAAAATTTTTTTTTAAAGCCTAGCAAACTAAAAAAACAGAAGAAACACTAGGAAATAAAAAAGAATCAGGATTCAGGAGAAACATATTATTACAGTTAAACATGACTTTTACAAACAGTTTAAACACTAGACATCACAGTTTTAAATGATACTCTCTGTCTTGACTTCAGCATGCAAGTGAAATAAATGATTATTATGTATATTTTATCTGACTTTTCTGTATAACCCTTAGGAACTAAGACTTATGTTTTGGAAGTTCAATCAAAGAAAAAAATTTTTGAACAGAAGCTTCAGAATGAACTTCCTTAAAAATGAGACTACGAATGTTATCACTTTACAGCAGAATGTACCCTCTCCAAGCATAAGGCATTGCCCTTCTCTCTTATTTACCATACAAAATTAAAATATGACTATATAGCATAATCACATGGTAAACTGCTTTCTGAATGCAAATATAATTTTTACTGTGACACAGTCCATAAGAATAGAAATTAACTATATTTTTAAAAAGTGTAACACTGATAGGAGAAAACTTGTATAGTCCAGTAATTTTAAGTTAAACAACATTTACTTACGTTCTGATACTGTATAAAGGAGGTTCTGGGGTAAAGGAGGAGGTAGTCTTGCTCCCACTGGTGCAAGATTGGGCACTGCACTTGTCCCAGGCTGGTCACGGTTATTTATCAAGTTTGACTGTGTTATGGGTGGTCCTACAGATAACAAAAAATGAAAGGCAGAGCATTAATATTTCATAACTCCTAAAAATACTCATTATACTAGAACTAATTTAAACATTCATACTTAAAAACATACTGTGGCTTTGAAAAGAAAATGAAGGAATTTGGTATGTGCAGGTTTGAGATTTGGTATGTGAGATGCATTATTAATTAAAAAGACAGTCTTGGTTCTAAAACAGGTAAAACTAATCTAGGGTGAAAAGAATCAGAACTGGCTGACTCTAGAGGGCCAGGGTAGAGAATGGCTGGGAGGAAGCATAAAGAAATTTTCTGGATTGACAGTAATGTTATAGAATTCTTATGTTAATGATAAGCATGCTGAAGTGTACCGATGTCTGCAACTTACTGCAAAATGCATCAAAAATAAAAATGGAGAGATGGAAACATGTGATAAAGAAAATATACTAAAATGTTAATTATAGAACTAGATAGGATATGTGAGTGCTCAGTGTACAATTCTTTCAGCTTTTCTGTTTGGAAATTTTCACAGTAAAATGTTGCGGGGAGGGGAAAGGACATTCTTAAACTTTTAAAGAGATTATATTTCCATTGCTCCCTCCCTACCCACCGCATTGAGATAATATCTTCTACTGTTAGAATTTCTACAAATGAAGATGCTTCTTTATCTGGGGAATAAAATACCAGCTTCAGATTTACAATTATAATGTTTATGTGACAATATTAAATATTCGCAAACACTAAGTTAAAAGAACCATAGTTCTATTGATTAAATCTCCCTAAACCTTTACCAACTTTAATGAAATGTTGTTCTATAAAGTACTTTACTGCAGGGAAGCTAAGTAAAGAACACACAGGATCTCCCTGTGCTATTTTTGTAACTTTACTGGTCTGTAATGATTTCAAAATAAAAGTTTTGTTTTGTTTTTTAAGAAAAGAAAACTAACTGTAGAAGAATCTTGATCAAATGCAGAACGAAATTTCAAGTTCTCATGGAATCCAGACTTTCTGGAGCCATGGTGGCTGGACGAACCCCAAAATTATTGCCCTGAGATAATCTTCACACCTTAAACCAAAAATATCCCCTAGTGTCTTCTTAAAACTAAAAATAGTTTAGCTTAACTAGTAAAGAATATCTGCCTTGAGCATTGTTCTCTTTTAAGAACTATCCATGGGGAATTAAACTGACAACAGCAACTCAAAAGATTAGATACGAAACTTAGGGGGCAGTGAGTTTATGTCAGTGGGGAGGAACAATTTGGAAAAGGAAGGTGAGAATGGTAGCACAACTTGAAGAATGTAATCAATGTCACTGAAGTGTACATGCAGAAAGTGTTGAATAGGTGTATGTTCTGCTACGTCTATTCACGATAACAACAAAAAAATTTAAAAAAAGAAAAGTGAACATAGTACTTTACTGCTTAAGTAAATTAAATGGCATACTTTTTTAAAATAATGATTTGCCATCTTTTAATAATGTTAAATGTCTTCAAATGGGTATTATTATCTTTCTACACATGTAAACTATTCACTGCATATTTTTTAAATTACATTAAAAAAATTAGTTGTAATTATGTTTCTGCTACACTACAACTGTTAATATTTTTTAAATGACCATTTTTATACATTTCTTACTCTTAATTTTGTTGGATGTGATAATGGCATATTGATTCCTTTTAAAACAAAAAAAAAAGTCCTTAACAATAAAGAAATAAATAATGAGCTATATACAGATGAAATTATATGGCATTTGGAATTTATTCTAGCAAAAACAAACTCCCCAAAAAAAGTATGTGTGTGTGTGTGCACGTGTGCATGCACATAGAGAGATAAATGAGACAAACACAGCCAAATATTGATAACTGGTGAAGCTTATGATGGTACATGTGGTACACATATTATTCTTCTACCTGTGTATGTTTGAAAATTTCCATAATCAAAAGCTAAAAAATATATATTTCAATATTCTTGAAGAGATTTTCTTTAAAGATTGGGAAATTTCATTAAACTACTGGGAAGTTTTTTATTTAACATCTTAAAAAACTGGCTTTCTTAAGATGCTATCAACCAGAAAAATTTTGACTACAGGTCCATATAGGTAGGTCACTATAAATTTTACTCTGAAGTACAGCAATTAACACAATAATGGATAAAAAAAAAAAAAAGGAAAGAATGACATCTTGATTACGGAAATGTACTCTAAATTGTTATTAATTTATTTTTCAAATATTTTAAATCAAGTGTCAAGTTAGCTGAAAAGACATGATTCTTCTAAAAAGAATTTTCCATTGAAGAAAGAAAGAAAGATTCAACCAGCATATACTTACTTGGTATGGGAAGCACAACAGAAGGTGGAGGCTGACCATGTCCCTGGGGAAGAGGAAGTCTCATACTGTGGCCAGGACCTGGACCTGGGCCTGGGCCAGGGCCAGGGCCAGGGCCAGGGCCTGGGCCTGGCCCTGGGCCAGGACCCGGGCCTGGGCCTGGCATTGGAGGCATTAAGATTCCAGGAGGTGGTGGAGGAGGAAGCCCGGGAGGAGGAGGTGGGAAAGGAATCATGCTTGGCAGAGCAACTTCATCAACAACCAGGGGATCATTTCCATGATCAAACTGGCAAAGGTCTCCAAGTACACAAAATCCTCTTTCTGTAAGAATAAAAGAATTTTATTATAATCTACTTAGAGCTCAAAAACAAAACAAGTCCCTGAAAAACCCACCAATCTGATTTACAAAGTGCTTTTCTCCAAGGAGTCTAAAGCCTTCTTAGTGTTATTCTGTTAATCATCACATATCCCTGAGGTGGAGGCAGGTGTACTCTCTACCTTCTATGAGACTATGACTATAGCAAATAACAGGGTCAAAAATAGGTTACTAGCTACTATTAGACTACTCCTTTTGCTGTTAAGTTTTCATAATAAAAATTCACATATTTTAAACATAAATTTAGCAAAGGCTAGAGGTAGGGGGAATAAGGGACTTGAACTAGATGGTTTAATTTCAATTATCTACTCTCATGATATTATTCTAAAACTATTCTTGATATATCTACAAGTTGAAACCTTAAAATCTTCAAGGGGGTATTATGTACCAGGTTATTCACTGCAGCACTGTTTGTAATAACAAAATACTAGAAACATCCCAGATGTTCACCAAGGAATAAGTTAAACAAATTTTTGTATATATGGGATACTAAGATGCACAAAAAACAGAGGAAGCTCTTTACGTATTAATACAGGATTACTGCCAGAAAACGTTGCTAAATGAAAAAAGCATTATGCAGAACACTGTGAACAGTACACTAGCATTATGTAAAAAAGAAAGTTGGGAGGGTATGTATACGTGTATGTATTTGCTTATGTGCAAATGCACAGACTATCTTTGGAAAAATACACAAGAAACAAGTAAGTTGGCCCCGGAAAAGGGAACTCTGTGGCTGGGTGACCAGGGTGAGAGAGAGGTTAACACTTAAATTTTGATTTGACTCTATTCCCTACTTAAAAATAAATAGAATGTAAGAATACATGCATTCTATATTTATAGATAAAATATTATGATGCTCTGAAATTTGCTTCAAATAAAAGAGGACAGGGAGAAGTATAAATGAAAACTAGGTTGCCCATGAGTTGGTAATTGTTGAAGCGAGATGAATACACCATGGTTTATTATATTATTTTGTCTACTTTTATAAATATTTAAATATTTCCAAAACACAAAATTATAATAAACATACATACACACCCTCATTCATTCATTCAAATGAAGAGTCAACAAATCAAACTTGTTAGTAGGTTATACATGTTTAACAAATTCTCAGCACCAAACACACTACACAAGGAAATTATAATCCTTAGCGTCTACCAAATTTTATGGTATATGTACAGTGTCTGAAGTAACAATAAGAACAACAAAAAGCACACTAAAAAGCGGTCATCTCTTGACAAGAGTCAAACCATTAAAAGAAACAAGTAGACAGGCATATACTAAGAGTTTCTCCTCCCATTTATGCCTTTAAACAAAATCCAGACTAAAATTAGAAGTTATGAAAGATATGCAACATTTGCTTGATTGATGTTTTTGGGTACGATATAAGAGAAGGTAGTCATTTTTTACCATCATAATCTCTGCAGCGCCTCTTTGGTGGTGGGTTTCGACCAAAAGAATTGGAAGAGCTATGATTGTTATAGTAATTAGACCAACTCTCAGTTGTGTTTTCAGAGTGGTGAGCAGGTGCTATCACAGTAACAGTGCTGGGAATAGACTGTGTCCCAGAGGAATACTGCTCAGAAGAGTTTGGAGGTGGCGCAGACACAGGCACATAGGAACTTTCCAAGTCATTCCTTTCACTCTTAAACTTTGATCTTTCCCTGTGCTCTGCTTTAGGGACCAAAAAAAAAAACAAGAAAGCAACAGATCAGACATTTATGTTCTTAAAATATATTTATTTTCTCACTTTCAGAATAGGAAAGATGAGAATATTGAAGTAACTTACTGGTCGAACCATAATCAAACTGTTCTTGTTAATTTATCCTAAAATCAGGAACATCAACAATATGACATATCTTCACCAATAACTTGTGCAAAATCATCTTCTGTAATACCAGCATTAATACACTTAATGAAAAAGGGGCAGCTTCTCCATCAATATTTAATAAGAATGTTATCTAAGAATTGACTTCAAAACCGATATCCCAAGAGAACAATGGTTGAGATCCCAGTAATCTACTTAAATTTTTTTTTTTTATTTTATAAACACCAAGCCACCTTATAGAAAATCAATTACTCTTATAGAAGAGGGGGAGGAAAAAAAGCAGGCAACCCGCTTCCTCAAATGATAGCTTTGTTGATTAAAGGACATTTCTATCAATTACACAGAATAACTTAAGTCTAGATATGCACCATGATACAATTATGAATAGCTTCTTTTTAGTCAAACTCCTTTCACTCCATGCAGAGAACTGAGCTCTGTCTTTTAACAAAATCAATATTCAGTTTTTGAGAAAATTCTAGTTTTTACATTGCTAAGACATTAAAGGCACATTTACCTTTAAGGAGGTATCTTGTTCCCCTGTGATACGGGAAGATAAGCAACTACAGAGTTTTTAGGAGGATGCCTCATACTCACCAACATTCCTATTTGGATCCCGGTCTTTGCTGCGTCCCCTACTTCGGCTCCGACTACGACTCAGGCCTCGGCTCTTACTCCGGCTCTTACTCCTGCCTCTCCTCCAGTCATACTTGTCACGGTATAATTCATTCCGCTCATAGTACCGGTCATAGTCTCTCCACTTGCCATCTTCTCTTTTTTTCTCACGTGTCCTATAATAAACAGACATAAAAGCCATATACTGGCTACAGAAACAAAGTCAACAAACAAACTGGTAGTATGATAACACTTTCCCTGAGTCATCAAAATTCGTAACATTTATGCTGTTAGAAAGCCATAAGACCACCACATATCCTCTAATCCATTACATAAAACGGAAAAAACATTTGTACTTCAAGCACACTGGGTGGAGAGAAATAAAAAGGAAAGGTGAATCCAAAGCATGAGGAAGGGTGGGGGAGAAGGGGGACAGAAATTCAGAACAGAAAAAGAAAAAAGGCTCAAAATAAAGTTTTTCTAAACAAAAACCAATTTTTGGATGGTAGACTGATGATCCAATATACAAGTTACACTACTTGTAATATAAGTTGATATGTGTAATTTTAACACTGAGCACCCCTAAACAAATGGAACATTTCATTGATATTCTCTAAGGAGACTGTTCCCACCCCTGAGCTCTTGGGGAAAGCACATAATGATGACTGTTTATAAAAGGAATAAAAAGTATGATGAAGACAAAAAACAGAGTAGAAGGAAGATAACATTCTCTTTCTTAAATCACTTTAGAGAGATAAAAGTTAGTACATTATGTTAAAAACTCCTGTAATGCCCTTGCAAGGCAACTGGAAAGTGAGTTATCAATGCCTTCTTAATAAAAGATAAACACAAACCTTCGTTCACTAGATTCTGAACGAGTCTTCTGGGGACTAGGATATTTCTTTTTTCTGCTATCTCGTTCTTCTTCTGCTGGCTCCTGAAATACCTATATGGAAACATTCATTAAAAACAAGAACAGTCCTTCTATAAATTACAAAACACATTCAACTTAATATCAATCTTTCTGGTGTAAGAGAGACCACAAACATATCGAAATATTAAAGTCAAATTACAGCCGAAAAAGTTAAGCAACAGAGTGAAGTAAAAAAGACGCTTAAAAAAAATTACTTTAACAAGTAGTATTTAAATTTTAATTGTTAATTTATGGCAGAGCTTAGAATGGCTGTGTAGGAAGAAAATACACAATTCAGTCTTTAAACTGAAATAGCAGAAATTGCATACAATGGTATATATTTTCCTAATCATTTATTCTGTAGAAAAAAATTTCACGAACAAATGGTTAAGTAGGTTAATCAGTTAATAAATGCTATAAATCTAAATATTTTGGATAAATTATGGAAAAATGGTACTGAACTAATAAAAATGTGAAAGCTTCTTTTAAAGCCTAACAGTCAAGACTGACCAAGAAACAAAAAAAGAACTAACGCTTTTATTACTATCTTTAAACTGAAGCTGATCTCATTTTGCAAATTCCCACTTACAAAAATAAGCCAGATCTCTGATTTACTAAAGAAAAGTAAAATAAACTCACTTGCCAGAGCTAAACAAATGCCCATCTAATGCAGTAGCTCACTTACAAATACTCAAATCAGGAAGTGAATGAATGGACCAAGACAACACAATCTAATAAAACTAACGCGGCATATATGAGTTGGAATTGACTCCACGGCAGTGAGTATGGTTTTTGGGGTTTTTACCGTAACATAAAATGGCAGTCACAATATGTAACTATATGGTGCTGGCAAAAACACTACACAATCATTAGGCAATATTTAAAAATCACTCTATCTACCAATTTACAGGAAATACAAAGATGTATTACTCCACTGGGATGCAATCAGCGAAAAACAAGAGAGTAAAAAACTCTACGTGACAAATGACTGAGTTTCTTCAAAAATAAAGTCAAGGGACCCAAGAGAAATGAAAACATACATCCAGACAAAAAAATTATACATGAATGTTCACAGTAACATTAATCATAATAGCCAAAAAGTAGAAATGACCCCCTTGTCCATCAACCCAAACGTCCACCAACTGATGGATAAATAAAATGTGGCATATCCATACAAATGGGATGTTCTTTGGCCATAAAAAGAAATGAACTACCACAATGAGCTACCACTTCACACTCACTGAAAAAAAACCAAACCAAACATGTTGCTATTGAGTTGATTCCAACTCACAGCAACCCCACGTATTTCAGAGTAGAACTGCTCCATAGGGATTTCCTGGCTATAATTTTTATGGAAGCAAATCATAAGGCCTTTCTTCTGTGGTGCCACTGGGTGGGTTCAAACACCAACCTTTAAGTAATAGTGGAGCGTAAATTATATGCACTACCTAGGGACTTCACACCCACTAGGATGGCTATAATTAAGACAGACAATACAAGGGCTGGCGAGGATGCGGAGAAACTGGAGCCCTGATATACTGCTGGTGGGAATGTAAAATGGTGCAGTCACTATGGAAAACAGTTTGGCAGTTCCTCAACAAGTTCAATAAAGAATTAACATACGAGCCAATAATTCCATTCCTAGGTATATATCCGAAAGAACTGAAAACAAGCGTTCAAACAAAAACTTGTACAAGAATGTTCACAGTAGAACTATTCACAATAACCAAGAGGTGAAAACATTCCAAATGTCCATCTATAGATGAATGGGTAAACAAAATGTGGTATATCCATACAATGGAATATTACTCAGTAATAAAAAAGAATGAAGTATTGTATTAATACATGCTACATGGATGGACTTTGAAAACATTATGCTGAAAGGAGCCCGAAACAAAAGGCCACATACTGTATAATTCCACTGATATGAAACATCCAGAATTGGCAAATTCACAGAGATAGAAAGCAGCTTAGTGTTCGCCAGGTGCTGTGGAGAAGGGGAATGGGCAGTGATTGCTTAATTGGTACGGGTTTCCCTTTGGAGTGATAAAAATGTTCTGGAATTAGATAGCAGTGACGGTAGTACAACACTGTGAATATATTAAATGCCACTGAATTACATGCTTTAAAATGGTAAATACTATGTTGTGCATATTCTACCATAACAGAAAAAAAATTACTGCTACATGCCACAATGTGGAAGAACCTTGAAAATGTCATGCTAAGTGAAGTAAGTCAGTCACAAAAGACCACATATTGTACGATTCCATTGATATGATATATCCAGAACAATCAAATTTATAGAGACAGAAAACAGATTAGTGGTTGCATAGAGCTGGGAGGTGTGGGAGGGGCTTGGGGGATGATGGCTAATGGGTATGGAGTTTCTTTTCGGGGTGATGAAAATGTCCTCAAATTGACTGTGGTGATGGCTGCACAACTCTGTGAATACATTCATACTACTAAATTGTATATTTTAAATGGGTGAATTGTGAGGTATGTAAATTATATCTCAATAAATCTGTATAAAACATTTAAAGGGCACGTACAATATGGAAAAATCTCATGAACATAATACTGAATAAAGAACAGACAAAAGACCATATGATTCTTTTTACATAAATGCAAAAGCATGAGAAATTAATACATAGTATTAGAAGTACAGGTAATGGCTTCTCTGGGAGGGAACTGGAAGGGGGTCATGCCTGGGGCTTCTGGAATTCTCTTTCTTGATCTGGGTGCACAGGTGTGTTGAACTTTGCAAAAATTAACTGAGCTATACAATTATGCTTTATGCACTTTTCTGCAAGTATGGTATACTTCAATAAAAAGTTCCAAACAATGAAAAAAATAAAACCAATCATAGTATGTGGCTCTTAATTATTTGGATCTTGATTCAAACAAATGGGAAAAAACTGACATGTGACATTATTGGAGCCCTGGTGGTACAGTGGTTAAGTGTCCAGCTGCTTACCAAAAGGTGGGCAGTTCGAATCCACCAGTCGCTCCTTGGAATCCCTATGGGACAGTTCTACTCTGTCCTACAGGGTTGCTGTGAGTTGAAATCGACTTAACGGCAACAGGTTTAGTTTTTCTGTTTGTAGGAAATTATTGGGTATTTTTTTTAATATTATCATTTAGAGATACATACTAAATACAGAAAAGATGGTATGATGTCTGAGATGTGCTTCAAAATAATGAGGAAAGAAAGTATCTGGAGTTATAGAAAAAAATTTTATTCTGAATAATAAGTTACATGGCATTATACTACTTAATATATCTCGAATTACTCATACATTTATAGAAACTTCATATGCCAAAACTACTTATCTACTTTGGTCCTACTATTCTAAGAAAATGTAAAGCTGATTTTTTTTAATTGTGCTTTAAGTGAAAATTTACAGAGCAAATTAGCTTCTCATTAAACAGTTAATACATAAATTGTTTTGTGACACTGGCTGTCAACCGTGCAAAGTGTCAACTCTCTCCCCTTCTGGGAAGTTGATTTCTTAATTGAATCAGACTGTGACCAAGCATCCTAATTTTTAGTTTTCCTTCTATGTGGCTTAAGTTTGTTTGTTTTTTACCTTGCATTGTACATTAAAAGTCTGATTGTTACACATGTATTTAAGAAGTTTTAATTATTATCTTGGTCTATCATAGCTGTCATGGTTTGAATTATGTCCCCTAAAACATGTGTGTATCACTTTGGCTAGGCCATGATTCCTCGTACTGTGTGATTTTCCTGTATGTTGTAAACCTGCCTCGATGATGTTAAGGAAGGAGGATGGGTGGCAGTTGTGTTAGTAAGGCAGGACCTGATCTACAAGACTGGATTGTGTCCTGAGGCAATGTCTTGAGATATAAAAGACAGAAGTGAGCAGTGAGACAGGGGGACCTCATACCATCAAGAAAGCAGTGCCCGGAGCACAGCGTGTCCTTTGGACGGGGGTCCCTGTGCCGAGAAGCTCCTAGTATGGGGGAACACTGATGAGAAGGCCGAGAAAGAGAAAGCCTTCCCCTGGAGCTGACACCATGAATTTGGACTTTTAGTCTACTTTACTGCAAGGAAATAAATTTTTCTTCGTTAAAACCATCCACTTGTGGTACTTCTGTTATGGCAGCACTAGATGACTAACACAATAGCCATATAACTCTGAAAGCCTCCACTGCATTAGTCCATTTTAGATAAAAAGTATACTGAATGGGTATGTGGATAAAGGCCATGGGTTGTTGGGGTAGAATGATGAGCACACGGGAGTTTACTACACTATTCTGTCTCCTTTGGTGTATGCCCAAAATTCTATATAACAAGTTTTCTTAAAAAACAAAATGAAATAAAGATACCTTTAGACAAAAACAAAACTGTACCAAAGAGGTTTTTCTAGTTATAAACCTATGCATGAGGTCTAAGAAAAACTGCTTTCTATTATATTAGATGATCACAGTACAGTATGAATAAGGAATTATATCAAAGATCTGTCACTTTCATTGACTTTTTGCAAGCTCATGAACTCATACAGACGTAGCTAAAGAGTTTAATAGCAGCCAATTGTTACTACAGCAAATTTACAAGTAATTTTCCAACTGCAGATCAATGCAGTGTGCTCTATAAATCATGGCACATATCTACCAAGTGGCTTTTCCAGCAGCAGGATGAGTGGATCCAAATTCTCTCACCTGGTTCCCCTTGAGACAAACTAATTATAAAAAACAGATCGTACAATGTAGCTGGGACCAAGGTAGAAAGTTAAGATGACTAGTCCTTTGGTAGATTTGTCCTCGGTACACTGCTCAGAGCAACTATTTCAAATGAACTATTTCAGATGAAACAACAACTATTTCAAACAGCAGAAAAAGAGAGATGAATAATCTCTAAAATCTACAAGATACTGCAAAACCTCAACAACAAAGAGACAACCCAATTAAAAAATTGGCAAAGGATATGAACAGGCACTTTGCCAAAGAAGACATTCAGGCGGCTCACACATGAAGAAACGTTCACGATCATTAGTCATTAGAGAAATGCAGATCAAAACTACAACGAGATATTATGTCACCCCGAACAAGGTTAGCATTAATCAAAAAATCACAAAATAATAAATGCTGGAGAGGTTGTAGAGAGACTGGAACACTTATACACTGTTGGTGGGAATGTAAAATGGTACAAACACTTTGGAAATCGATTTGGCACTTCCTTAAAAAGCTAGAAATCGAAGTACCATACGATCCAGCTATCCCACTCCTTGGAATATATCCTAGAGAAATAAGAGCCGTCACACGAATAGATAATATGCACACCCATGTTCACTGCAGCACTGTTCACAACAGCAAAAAGATGGAAACAACCTAGGTGTCCCTCAGCAGACGAATGGATAAACAAATTATGGTACATCCACACAACGGAATACTATGCAACGATAAAGAACAACGAGGAAGCTGTGAAACATCTTACAACATGGAGGAATCTGGAGGGCATTATGCTGAGTGAATTTAGTCAGTCACAGAAGGACAAATATTGTATAAGACCACTATTATAAGAACTCAAGAAAAGGTTTAAACAGAGAAGACAACATTCTTTGATGGTTACAAGGGTGGAGAGGGAGGGTGAGGGTTATTCACTAACTAGACAGTAGACAAGTATTCTCTTACGTGAAGGGTAGGAGAGCACACACTACAGGGGAAGTCAGCACAACTGGACTAAACCAAAAGCTAAGAAGCTTCCTGAATACAACCAAATACTTTGAGGGACAGAGTAGCAGAGGCGGGGGTCTGGGGACATTGTTAGGTTAATTGACAAAACTGGAATTTGAAAAGTAGACTAAATATTGTATTGATGTTAAATTTACTGACATTGATAAAAGTACTACAGTTATCTAAAAGAATAGCCTTATTTTTAGGAAATATACACTGAAGTATTTAGGGATCAAGGGCCATAATATACATAACTTACCCCCAAACAATTCAGAAAAAATTAGTATGTGTATGGATATAAATAGAACAAATGGGACAAAATGTTCAATAGGTAAATATAGGCAGTATTTGGACATTTTGGGTATTATTTTTGTAATTTTTCTATAAGTTTAAAATTATTTCCAAAAAAAGAGTTAAAAAACAAAAGTCATGTTGTTTTCAGAATATAATAAAAACAAAATTTGGAATACATTCTTGTATAACAACCAAAATTTATATGCCAAGCAATAGACTAGGAAATACATACACATTTTATATATATATATGTATATGTTGTTATTGTTAGGTGCCATTAAGTCGGTTCCAATTGACTCATAGTGACCCTATGTACAACAGAATGAAACAGTGCCCAGTCCTGTGCCAGCCTCACAATCATTGCTGTTTGAGCCCACTGCTGCAGCCACTGTGTCAATCAATGTCACTGAGGGTCTTTCTCTCTTTCACTGACCCTCTACCTTATATATAAAATCTCATTTAATCCTCAATGAAATAAGTACTACTTTGATCCTCATTTTGCTGACGAGAAAATGAGACAAAGAAGTTGTTGAGCCGCTACTTTAACTCAGGCAGCCTGATTTTAGAACCCATATTCTTACTGTATAATACTATACTGTCAGTACATAAAAAGAATTACAAATGACCTCTATAAAATTTCCTTCTTGGTTCAAAAAATTAGGCTACCATCTATAAACATGTTTTTATACCTCAAAATTATAAAAACATTTTTTCCTTTTCTTTCCAGTGCTGATAGTGATGTTTAAAAAAAATTCTAAATGGTTAAAAAGAATAAATGGTTTCTCTACTTACATGAAAATATGTTACCTAAGGATTTCTCTTGAGGTTACATTAATACTTAACTTTCAGTAAAGCCTCTATATTTAACCAAGCTTTTTTCTTTTTTTCTAAAAGGCACCGGATAAGATTCCTCAGAATTCCTCAATATTACTTAAAATATTTCTTGGACCTCTAAACATGCTATCTGAAATCCTTCCAACTTTTCAAAGCCAAAGGAACTAAGGAGCCTTGATAAAGAATCTGCACGATGCTCAAAACCCAAGAACTTCAATAGATAGTTAATTACATCTAAAGAGCTCCACTTCCAACTAAGAAAGATACTGGTAATGGAATATAAAAATTCCCCAAAAACAGAAGGAAATTTTTGCATTACCTCTTCTTTAATTTCTTCTTTTTCTTGGACTGGAGGTTTTGGCTCAGGCTTAACTGGTTCCAAAGGTGGAAGATAGTTCTTAGTATACAGACTTTCAAAGAGTTTATCCACAAAACCCGAAGTTTCTAAGAATAAAAAATATTCAAATGTTACACAAACGAAAAACTAAAGTTTGATGATGCACTGTTGGCAAAGATGAGGAGCTGAGGAAAATGAGCCATCTCATACACTGCTGGTGGAACTAAGAATGAATACACCCTTAAGGAGAATCCCACTTCTGAGTTCTTCTACCTTTCCGACATACTTGCTCACATACAAAATGACATATATGCAAGATTATTTGTTGGAGTACTGTTTATAATAGTGAAAGAGTGGAAACAACCGAAATTTCCACGAAAAAGAGAGTAGTTAAATAAATTATGGAACAACCATACAATGGAATACACAGAAAAAAGAATTAGTACTGATAATACCTGATTTCAAAGATATAGAGCTACATATCTGTATCTTTTTGTATTTGCATAAAGAAACTTGAAAAGACACAAAAACTGACAAGCGTTTAGTGGGGCTGAGAAGGGGGCAGATAAAGAACACATGAGAGAGACTTTTCATAATTTACCTTTATACTGTCAGGTTACAGTATACACATTGCTTTTCAAAAAAATTACAAATATTTTTAAATCAGAATGAGAGTGATGAGAAAGTATCTTTTGTGTTTTACTTAACTTTTTGAAACTTTTTCAGACTAACTGAATGGAGAGAATCATGAATTTACTAAATGTTTAAATGTCAAAATATATTGTTTTATTACATCTAAATTTAAATAATTTTCTTTGGTCTTACCCTAAGGAACAAATAGCGTATTAAAGTGCAACACGGGCTCTGCTTACACTGCAATTAGTAACGTTCTATATAAATGACATTTCTAAGATGTCAAATTATTTTTCCTTCAGAAAAGAATCTTTTTAAAAACCTCCTCACACTATTAATTTGTACAGTAAGCATTTTTCAAGATTATAAAACAGCTCTTGTTAACTCATCTATAGCTTTAAAACAACAAATAAATTAATCAGGCACTCTAAAAAGTATGTTCAAAAGACTTTCTTCATACACTTCTGTATTTTTACTTTTTTTTTTTACAACAAACGTGTATACTTTTGTAACTTAAAAAGCATATAACCTAATAAAGAAAACAAGCACAGGTAAATATCCAACATTAAATAATATTCAAAGGGGAAAATAAGCATATTATAAAAGAGTATGTTTAATTAATATCACTTTAATATGTAATGTAAGCGCAGATGTTAAGTCTAGAGCTACACTCTCCAATAGGGTAGTAACCAGATATCTGTGGCTACTTAAAGTTTAAATTAATTAAAACTAAAAAATCAGTTCCTCAGTCATATTAGCCTCATTTCAAGTGCTCAATAACCACACTGGCTACTGACTGGCGTATCAACATAGATATAGAAGCTATCCATCACTACAGAAAGACATATACAAGTAGATAAGAGTAATTTTTAACTCTAGCTGCAAATTGTGTGTGTGTGTGTGCGCGCGCGTATGTGTGATAAAAACGACGCCAGAGATTGCATGACATAATTTTGCAAGACTAACTTTTTTTTTTTTTTTTTTTAAATTGGGCTTTAGATGAAGATTTACAGAGCAAATTAGTTTCTCTTTAAACAAAACACATATTATTTTGTGACACTGGTTGCCAACCGCACAACATGTCAACACTTTCCCCTTCTTCACCTTGGGTTCCCCATTACCAGCTTTCCTGTCTCCTCCTGCTTTGTCGTCCTTGCCCCTGGGCTGGTGTGCCCATTTATTTAGTCTCGTTTTGTTTCACGGACCTGCCTAATCTTTGGCTAAAGGGTGAACCTCAGAAGTAACTTCAGTACTGCGTTAAAAGAGCGTCCAGGGGTCATACTCTTGGAAGTTTCTCCAATCTCTGTTAGACCAGTGAGTCTGGTCTATTTTGCGAGTCAGAATTTTCTTCCACATTTTTCTCAAGTTCTGTCTGGGACCCTCTGTTGTGATCCTTGTCAGAGCAGTCAGTAGTGTCTAGTGGCAAATTTTTGACTTTATTTTCTTCTCCTTTTTAAAAAAGCATTTTATAATTCTTCCTTTTGTATATTGCTCTAGTAACTAAAAAAAGTTATTAAAATCTTCAAAGCCTTAATAACAGTGTCCAATAAACATATACTTGCCTCTTAAATGTCTTTACTTTTTTTTTTTTCATTTCATAGGACTCATCTTTAATGTAACACATTTAGAAAAGAAAATACTGTACTAGGGAAAAATTCTGTAAGTATTAGATTTTTGGGGGGGAGTATAAAAATGCCTTAATATGCATGAAAAAATATGTAATTCTGTGTTTTAGACTGAAAAGTCATATAGCTATCTTTTCTTTCTCAGTAGATATTTCAGTTAAAGGATATCTTCTTATCACCGACAGCTAGACCAACCAATACGTACGTATTATCCATGTTCCTGTACATCCATTCAACAATATTTGCTGAACATCTTTTATGTGCCAAGCACTGTAAGTTCCAAGTCTCTGCTCTTAACAAGCAGAAAGACAAACAAGGGGGAAGGGAGACAGATAAATAGGCAAATAAACATATGACAGATAGTGACAAGTGCTATGAAAAAAATAAAGTAAGGTTGGGAGGAGGAGCAAGTGACTAGAGGCATGGGGTGTACTACTGTATATGAGGTGCTTAAGGGAAAATGTTCTGAGAAGATGACATCTGAAGAGAGAGACAAAAGAAATGAGAAAGGGAACTATGTTTCAGGCACAGGTACGGCAAGCGCAAAGGCCCTCAACTGTGAGCATGTTTGCATTTCCAAAGAACAGCAAGACGGTCAATGTGTCAAAGTGGAACAAATAAGGGAGAGTGATAGGACATGAGATCAGAAAAGCAGCAAGGGATGCCTCAAGTAAGCTCTGCAGACAATGGAAATAGCTTTGGTAAGATGGGAAGTTAAATGTACAAAGAGAAGAGGATCATGCCCACATCTTGGATATCAAGAAACACAGCCAAGGGGGAAAATAAAGATGGACTCATTATCCTAATAAACAGCAAGAATAAGCAGCATTATTATCTTAAACTCTTACCCTTCTACCATCAACTAGGCTCTGCCTCAAGCTGCCAAGGACCCAATTACTTAAAAAGCTTTTGAGCTATCACTGCCTCAGTACAGAAAAGCAGAAAAGGAAAAAGAAGAAGAAGGAAAAGGAAAAACTGAAGGGAAAAAAAGCAGTCTGCCAAAACACATAATAAATAATTGGGCATACAAAAGCATATTCAAGTATTCGAAAGATCCTGACCACTCTCTTTCCTATTAATCTTATATCTTCAAGATTTTACCAGGAAGCTTTCAATTTAAAATATTTAAATACTTGGCTGAAGGCCTGTAATAATTACCTTTTTGTAAAAAGACATCAAGTTGATCAGCACAAAAGGCTTTCAATTCTTTCTCAGGTTTGTCTTTCTTGACCAGTGCTACAACATAGTTGGCTAAGGCTGAAGGGTCAGCATCACATCTAGTTAAAAGAGAAAACAAAACTTTAAAAATACATTTTTTAAACAATGGTGTTATTGATGAAGTCAACCCTATTTTGGAAAGCCAAAGGTAAAAAAAACTTTTGTTTTACAAAGTGACTGCAAACACAAGAGACTATTACAAACAACATATAAATACTCAGTGAGATTTTCCTTTTCTGTTTATTTCTACAAAGCAGCTACTTTGACTCCTATTTTTTAAGTTTAATTATACTAAGAGTCTTGGACCAAATCTACATTTATGTGCTCTCTCAATGGTAAAAGGGTGGCAACTAACCCTAAAGCTGCTGTCTGATTGCCAGCTGCAGAAGCACTGTCAATAATCCTCCGAGGACTATCTGTTCTATGTGGCCAATGAGGAACAAGTGGGGGAAACGATGGGACAGCTTTCTCCTCTCCTCAAGACTACTCTCCCTACAACCCCAGCCACCAGCACCCAAAATTGACAATCAATCCCACTACTTATCTTTTCAATAAATATCCCAAGGATCTTTTAAAAAGCGAGAACACAAGAGGGACTGCACCTTAAATATTACTGGCAAACACTTTAGTGGCAAAATAAAGACCAAACAGATAAGAATCTAGGGGTTAGAAACAGAAGGGATAAGCAAAGCAGTGGGAGGGTGACAGAGATAATCTTTATCTACTTCACTTTTTTTTTAAGTCAGTAGTAGCCTGACCTTGACACTCAAAACCATCTCTTATGCCAAGGCAACACATGATCCTTAAGCTGCCAACTCCTGACTTATAGCATACCCGTCAGACTTAGCCTTTATCTATATGACATGGAACTGAAAGTTTCATGTTTTAAATATATACTGTTTTGATATTTTGGATCTCTCCATGAAAACACAGTTAAGTAACACATACCCCTTGGGGCTACATAAGGTTACTGTGAAGGTAAAATGAGAAAATTCATAATGACAGTAAATAAAAACATTCTGCAAGCAAACTGATCCTATCCCTATAAAACACTATTCAAATAACTAATCTTGTGCTATAATCCTTGGCTTCTACTGTCAACCAAAAAGTTAAAGAGTTTCAGCTCAAGAGTATTAATCACATGTCTAAATTTTATAAGTAAACAAAAGAAAACGCAAGCAGCACCAACACCTTTAATTTCTTCTAGTCCATACTTCTAAAGTTGATATCTCAATAAAATAGCAGAATCCTTTTCATTGCCAATATTAGCAGTTTGTGGGAAAGGCTGATTTCTTCAAGCATCTTTGTTGATTTTATGACCCAAATTCTAAAAAGAGCCCATTTCAGTAACTGTCAATTTTACAAAACTGGAAGCTAATTAAAAAAAAAAAAAATTACGTGCAAGGGTCAAAATGCACTAGGAGTATAAGGACCAAAGATGATGAGTTATATATTAATGAAAACATGCAATTTAAAAGAAAGTCAAGATTTTTTTTTAAAATAAAAAATGCAAATTACATATTGGAGAATTACGAGCAAATCACTTAGTCGAATTGCTGAACTCTAAAATGGATATACAGTATTTCTGTCAACAAAAAAATGTTACATATGCCATGCCCACCTTGGCTATTCTGTAATCCACTGCAGTCGAGTTGATTCCGACTCATAGCGACCCTACAGGACAGAGTAGAACTGCCCCATAGGGTTTTCAAGGCTGTAAATCTTTTTTTTTTTTTTCCTTTCAGGATTTAGTGTATAATTAGGTCATTTTTCAAGCATTTTTTGCACTTGAGTTTGCCTATTAATTTTGTTTCAGAACTATATATAAATATGTATGTATAAAAAAGTATACATATATTATGCTTATACATACTTTTTTATTGTTGTGCTTTAAGTTACTTTACCATTCAAATTAGTCTCTCAAATAAAAATCTATATATACATTGTTATGTGACCCTAGTTGTTCTCCCTATACTGTGACAGCACACTCCTTTCCACCCATGTCCATTCAACCAGCTCCTGACACTCTCTGCCCTCTCATCTCGCCTCTGGACAGGAGCTGCCCACAAGGGTGTAAATCTTTACAAAGCAGACTACACATCTTTCTCCCGCAGAGCGGCTGGTCAGTTTGAACCGCTGACCTTTCAGTTAGCAGCCGAGCACTTTAACCACTGCACCACACTTAAAATGGCAATATGTAGATACATTAATTTCACCCTTGAGAACAGTAGGATATTTGATCAATATAGTTCTAATTAACATTCACATGGAGGGGAAAGGAAAAAAAAAATCACACTTCTATCTTTACAAAGAAAGTTCAGATCCTGGAGAAGGAGGATATTCTGACATAGAAAAGGATTTTTTAAAAAGATAAATAAGAATGATGAAAAGAAACAATGCTATTTTCTCTGGTGTTATCAGGGAGTCTCGCGACCTGACAGGTATAAGGTGGGCAGGGATATGAGGTTTCTAGTGAGAAACAGGCAAAACATTTAGAAAACTAGATAAATGGAGTGCATTAAACAAACCCAGATATCGTATAAGACATACATTTAGTACTAAGACTGAAAAATAAATGCAAAGTTAGGCTGCTTTGATGAAATACATTTTGATGTGATAGTGTTTTACAGCTCAAGATGAAGAGGTACAGGAAGGTATTTCACTTGGGAAAAGGGCAAACTCCAAGAAAAGAGAGTGATCACAGATTCTAAATATTTGTTTAATCTGAGAGAACTGACTGTTACTAACTGATAGAATTCTGCACCAAATACAAAAAGCATGTTTACGGCCAAAAGAATTGAACCATTTAAATTTAATAGCTCCTAATATGCATCCATAAAGTGTGCTAGGATAGAAATTGCCAGCCTGCAATAATAAGTCACTCTAATTAAACGGTGACACTTTAAACACATTGGGGAATTTTGTGCTATAATTTTCTAGACCTTTATTATCATTTGTATTTATTCTTTCATCATACTGACCTCTCACCGTTATAATCTTTAGAAACTGACAACTGTAATACTGTAGCTATGGTACTAATGCTACTAGGAGACTAACCAGATGTCCAGAAGTATATCACAAAAACCCAAGCATGACTGAGATACTTGATTACAAGAAAAATCTAAGGCCACCTCCCACACTCCCAACATCATTTTACTCCTCTTATGCAAGGAGGACCCTGGTGGCACAGTGGTTACGCATTTGGCTGCTAACCAAAAAGTGAGCAGTTCAAATCCACCAGCTGCTCCTTGGAAACCCTACTGGGCAGTTTTACTCTGTCCTACAGGGTTGCTATGAGTCGGAATCAACTCAACAGCAACGGGTTTGGGTTTTTTTTTTTTTTTTTTTCCTTTTGGTTTCCTACCCAAGGATAGAACTTAAAATCTTTAAGCTATTTATGTGGTACCTAAGCTTACGGGAACCATTTATGTTTGACTATAGGAATGAGTATATTTTAGAACGGAGGAGGTTTTTAAATTGTTGATCTTTGGCTAGGTTAAACAAACATGTTCTAGACAAAAAAGGGCTTCTAATATAACGACACTAAAACAGAGATAAGAAAAGATAATAATACCTATCTTAAGTTACTATTGGGTCTTAATAACATAATCAATGAATTACTAGATATATTTTATAGATAACTAAATATACTGTGGACTGCTAAAAGAACAAACAAATCAGTCTTAGAAGACAGACAACCAGAATGCTCCTTAGAAGCGAGGATGGCGAGATTTTGACCTTACTTTGGTATGTCATGAGTAAAGACCAATAGCTACAAAAGGACATCATGTTTGGTAAAGCAGAAAGTCAGCGAAAACAAGAGAAACCTTCAATGAGACAGATGACATAATAGCCACAACAATAGACTTACACATATCAAAAATCATGAGATGGCACAGAAACAGGCAATGTTTCATTCTGTTGTACATAAGGTTGCCATGAGTCAGAGCCCACTGACAGCAAGTAACAACAAATCAGGGCACAAACAAATGACGCAATCCACTCAAGAGCGGCAGACAGTATACCTGTAGAATTAAAAGTCAGCTGCAATTCCACATTAAAAAAAAACACCGCCGTCAAGTTGATTCCAACTCATAGTGACCCTATAGGACAGAGCAGAACTTCCCCACAGTTTCCAAGGAGCATCTGGTGGGTTCAAACTTCCAACCTTTCGGATAGCACTTATTAGTAAAATCTAATTCACAGCACATACACTTTTCTAATGTATATGTGTGTGACAAATTGTTGCTGTTAGGTGCCATTAAGTTGATTTTTGACTCACAGACCCCAGGTGACAGAGTAGAGCTGCCTCACAGGATTTTCTAGGCTATAATCTTCATGGGAGCAGACTGCCAGGTCTTTCTCCCACGGAGTCGCTGAGTGGGTTCAAACCACCACCGTTTTGGTTAACAGCTGAGTGCTTAACTGCTGAGCCACCAGGGCACCTTGCACAACAATTTAACATATCTTAAATTCTGATGAATAATTACCTTTCACTTAAAATGAAGAGCCAACAAAAAAAAATTTCCTAAAGCTTAATGTAAGCTACAAATATGAAGATTTCTTAAAATTCACCTCTGGCGTAATAACATTTTTAAGAACATGTTTCAATTACCTATCTTGTATTTTAAGCTATGTGAAAAAATCAATTAGAATGAATTTTTTTCAGGGGAAGCTAACGGAAATATCATTCTAAAAATGCCTTAATTATAAAATCCTCAAATTCGCCTTTTTCCTCTTTAATGAAATCTTTACTAAAGCTATATTACATATATTACATAGCTGCTCGTGCATCAGCTTTACAGAAGATTTCAGACGTATACCCAACCCCAAGACTGAAGAGTAAAGGTCCTATCTTAGGTGTCAAGCCAAGAAACACTGCTAAAAAACCATTATGGTCCATTCGACTTAGGAAAAAAGCCAAGACTCTTTAAACCTTTTCCACTTGTAGAAAAATTTACACGTTTCTTAATATGGGCTTAATTTAAGTTCTGCCTTAGAGTGAGCTTGTTTTAGAAGTGATACAACTAGTGCACGTGCTACTGGAGTACAGAAAAAA